ACTATGAGCTGTTATCGCTCGATCAAATAATTAATTCCTAACTCTATTGTGAAACAGTAGAGTGAACTGGAGAGATTACAACAAGCAATTGAGAGGAAGCGGCCAGAATTAATCAATAGGAGGGGTGTCGTCTTCCATCACGACAACGCTCGGCCACACATCTTTGATAACTCGGCAAAAATTGCGAGAGCTTGGCTGGGAAGTCTTAATGCATCCACCGTATAGTCCTGATATAGCAGGACCTCAGACTATCATTTGTTGAGGTCTCTGCAGAACTCTCTTAATGGTGTAAAGCTGGCTTCAAAAGAGGCCTGTAAAAATCACTTGAAGCAGTTTTTCGACCAGAAACCACAGAAGTTCTATCGCGATAAGATTATGGCTCTGCTCCAAAAATGGCAAAATATTATTGAAAATAATGGAGCATATTAAGTATCCGCGGTTTTTTGTCACTAGATGTGTGTTGATGGTCATATATCTAGTGACAAAGTACCGCGGATACTTTTTAGATGACCCAATATTATTAAAATAATGAAGCATATTTGGTTTAAATAAATATTAATACTCTAAGAAAAATACTTGAATTTTATTAAAAAACCGCCTCGAACTTTTTCCCATACCCAATATTATATTGGGTATGGACCATCAACACACATCTAGTGACAAAAAACCGCGGATACTTTTTAGATGACCCAATATTATATTATATTATTTTATTGATAAAAAAAATAGATCCAGACGGCTAGACCGGTTTAAGGCTTTGATTTCTATAGTTTGTTATTTATTTTATTTTATTTTATTTTTTATTTTATTTTATTTTATTATTTTATTTTATTAATATTATATTATATTTTTATATTTATATCAAAAATTTATTAAATGCTTTTTTATACAAAATAAATCTGAAATAATTGTTTCGATACAGTACGTTTTTTCAATTACGTGCGTAATATGCCCCAATCGTACCACCTTCTGAGTAGAGAGCCTATATAATCAGAATGGCTCCATACGAGAGATGATGTTATGTTTTAGCGAAATTCTGCGAGAGAGAAAGAGATATACGGTCTCAATCTATTCAACAGACTGTCAGTTTTAGAGTTAGGTGTAACAGCATTGAACAACATAGATACGTAAAGGTACATTGATAAAAATAAAGTTATTGAAATTATTTTAGAAATATGGTTGGATGTACAATACCATTTTGTAACAATTCATTAAAAAAAGGATATGTTATGAAAA